TACGCCATGAAAGATTCATTTCTATTGCATTGTTATATATTTGATTCATTTCATCTAACAAAATCTGAAATTGTTTGATAATCCATTGTGCGGGTGATTGTTCTTCATTCAGTTTTTTTCTATACATCTTAGAGACTGATTTGGAATCATCATAACTACATTTTATATAAAGCCCCACACTAAAGACTTCATGATCTTGGAAGGATCGTCTATTATTTACTGGTTTCAATAAGCACTCTAAATCAGCATAGATAATAAACGAAACCATTTCTTTTTGATCATAATGATTAAATTTCAGAAGATGAAAATTAGGTAGATTAACTCTATATTTATTAAATTTTTAACAATCTGTCTCATGAATATTCAATTTTTCTTTATTATTAAAATAGTGGAGACAGCGTTCACATAGATAAATTTGTGCAGTATGTTTCGTTATTCGACTTCTAACAAGAGCAGATAAGTTTTTAATTCATACATAGTGGAATTTTAATTTTAAATTATCATTGTTATTTGATCTATTAGATATTTCTGTTTCATTCTCATCAATATAATCGCTTTGTAGTAACAAAAGATTTACATGCTTATCTTGATTTAAAGTTGATATATAATATAGTGAGACTTCGAATTTAAAACCGTATTTTTTTAGTATGCATAGATTTATTGAAATACTATTTAATTTTTTAAATTTAGGAATATTCTTTACCTCAACAGGAAAGTTTATATCATCGAATTTCAATTCATTCGCAAAGGGCATATAATTTTGAACTCTTTCGCTATGAAATCTAGCTGGATGAAGACAGGCAAGCACAGCCCATTTAAAACATTCATTAGTAGTTGAATATATGAGCCAGGTTTGAAAGGATTAAATTTATTTATATTAACAGTAATACCGATGACAGTTTTTAATGTCCAACCGGAATCTTTTTCTTCAAATTCTTCAAAATTTTTAAGTATAACATCTTCAATATTTTTTGTAAACCATAATTTAAGATCTCTCGTTCTATAAATAGAAACATTTTCGGTGTTCAAATACTTTACTTGAATGTCCTCTACATTATCTTTTATTACGGTAAATTGAGCTGACATTTCTATATTTATTTTTAGAGTATTATGAATTGAAAGATATTTTGGTATTTGTAGTTGTAATAGCTTATTTGCTGCTTTTAAGTATGACTTTATATCTGTATGTTCTTGATTGGCTATGAATGCAGTAATGATACGTTTTTCAAATGCTGAATTTATTTCACGCCAAATAACTCCGTCCCCTTTAATTTAGTTTGGAATGACTCAAACGGAATTAATATTTCCTCCGACTTTTATGCAATTATTTAAATTAATTTCGATTGAATTCAAATGAGTAGCGCATGTTTGACATCTCTGTCGTATTGCTCTACTTAAGTTAGGCCATAACATATATTCTTCAAGAGAATTCAAAGCGGTAATTATAATATTTTTCCATCTAATAAAATCATCCTTATTAGCGTCTGAGTTGTAATAGGCTTTCCATAAATCGCGTACTGTATTTTCAAAATAAGAAATAGAAGCCATTCTAATGAAAATGCGCGTAGGATAACTAGTAATACTACTACTACTACTACTAGTACTACTACTACTACTACTACTGCTTGTCACTGCTAAGAAAGCTAGTGAAACGGGCTGTCTCGTAAGACTGCGCTCTTTTCCAATCGAGCACGGATTTAAGCACTATGGTGGCGCTGAAAGCAGCGGTTTCGGCGCTGTAGATTGAATAGGGGGTAGTCAGACGAAAGGTAGGAGGTGGGTGGGTGGGTGGGTGGTGGCTGCGCCTAGCAAGCTAGAGACGCTACCCCCTCTCCGAGGGCCCACACTCAGCTAGCATAAGCTTACTAAGTGCCCTACTATCGAAGGAGAGCGAGAGAGAGAGAGAGAGAGAGAGAGAGAGAGAGAACGGCATCCACACTATACGACGTACGCGTCTAGCAAGCTAGAGACGCTACTCCCTCTCCGAGGGCCCACACTCATCAGCATAAGCTTACTAAGGAGAACGAGAGAGAGAGAATACAGCATCCGTACTATACGGTGTACGCGCCTAGTAAGCTAGAGACGCTACCCCCTCTCCGAGGGTCCACACTCAGCCAGCATAAGCGCCCTATTATCGAGGGAGAGCGAGAGAGAGGGATAAAGAGAGAGAGAGAGAGAGTGAGAGAGAGAGAGAAAACAGCATCCGTACTTTACGGTGTACGCGCCTAGCAAGTTAAAGACGCTACCCCCTCTCCGAGGGTCCACACTCAGCCAGCATAAGCGCCCTACTATCGAAGGAGAGCGAGAGAGAGGGATAGAGAGAGAGAGGGATAGAGAGAGAGAGGGATAGAGAGAGAGAGGGATAGAGAGAGAGGGGGATAGAGAGAGCGAGGGATAAAGAGAGAGAGACCATCATATAGTTTACCAAACAACCTACCGTCTTCTACAGCATCCTACCTTAACAACCTCTTAGTTGGGCGGGTGGGTGAGGGGCGGGGGGGTGGGGGCTCTGTGGAAGGGGCCGCGGGAGGTGTCAAACGAACATCAAACGCCCTTTAAACACTCAGCATGGGGTCTCACCTTAAAGTAAAAGGTATCACTACCGCGACACCTTCATCGGGCGGCCTCTTTGTGTCCCAGAACATACACATATCCCTTATACATTGACGGCACGCGGGAGGTGTCAAACGAACATCAAATGCCCTTTAAGCACTTAGCATGATGGCCCATTGGCACGCGGAAGGTGTCAAAGGTACATCAAATGCCTTTTAGACACTCAGCACGGGGTCTGACCATAAATTAAAAGGTGTCACTGCCGTGACACCTTTATCGGGCGGCTCCTTTGTGTCCCAGACCATACACGTATCCCTTATACATTGGCGGCATCCTTTGTCGGCTCCTTTGTTTCCCAGAACATACATTGCTTATCTACTGTGGGGGATACGACGATGCCGACGAGAGTAGCTATCCTCCCAACTCTCGTCGATGAATGTATCCTAGGAGTGAATTTCGTTAGGTTGTTCACAGTGGTACTTGATCCGGACGATTATACGTTACTACTCAAGAAATCACGAACCAAGATGAAGCTAGAGGTAGCTAGCTTAGAGGCTGGTCCGAGATTAGCTACGATCAGACTAGCCGAGGTAATAGCCTCTCAACAGGCGATATTGCAGAGGACCATCGGTGAGGCCTTATCGCAGGCCGCCGTGGGACTGGGATGTGCGGCAGGCATTGAACACGACATTCGGGTCGGTGATACGAAGCTGATCAAGCAGCGCTACTATCCGGTGTCACACAAGGTCGAGCAAGAAATGCATAGATAGGGAGATGTTAGATAAAGGGGTGATCGAGCCAGTGGACACCGGCTGGTCGAGCCCAGTGGTTATGATACGCAAGAAGGATGGCTCGTATCGATTCTGTATAGACTTCAGGAAGGTCAACAAGGTCACCGAGCCAAACGCGTATCCCCTGCCTTTTGTGCAAGATATATTGAGGCGCTTACGTAATGCACGCTATATCTCCACACTCGACCTCAGTAGTGCATATCACCAAATACCACTCAAACCCGAATCTCGACCTATCACTGCCTTCACCGTGCCCGGATTGGGGCATTTCCAGTTCGTACGAATGCCATTCGGCCTCTCGTACGTCGGCGCCACCTTCCAACGGTTAATAGATAGCGTGATCGGACCTGAGCTTGGCGATTTCGCCTTCACCTATTTGGATGATATCATCGTAGTATCATCCAAAGTCGAAGATCACCTTCAACATCTTAAAACCGTATTCGATAGGTTATGCTAAGCCGGACTCTCGATTAATCGAGAGAAGAGCATCTTCTGCAAGCCTGAGGCCAAATATCTGGGTTTGCTGATTAACCGCGAGGGTATCAGGCCCGACCCTGAAAAGGTGCGCTCTATCGTGGAGTACCCACGACCAGGAAACGCGGGCCAGATGCGCACCTTCCTGGGGGTTGCTTCATGGTACCGCCGATTCTTGAGTGACTTCGCCACACACGCTCAACTGTTAACGAAATTGACGGGGAAAAAATGCGAACATGTGTAGGGATCAGACCAAGAACAAGCCTTCGACAAACTTAAGGCACTCATGATATCCGCACCGTGCCTCGGGTTACCGGAACCCGACGGGCAGTACGTGCTGGAAACAGATGCTAGCGCTACGGGAATCGGTGCCGTCCTGATTCAAAGAGTAGGAGACAGAGACCGGATCATCGAGTACGCTAGCAGATTCCTTAACCCGGCGAAGCAAAATTACTCTGCCACGAAGTGCGAGTACTTGACGGTCGTATGGGCTATACAGAAGTTCCGCCCGTACATAGAGGCGTACCGATTCTAGGTGGTAACGGACCATAACAGTCTGAAATGGCTATACAATCTGAAGAACCCGATAGGACGGCTAGCCCGATGGGCCTTGCAACTCAGAGGCCATACTTTTGAGATCGAGTATCGAAAGTGGGCCTATAACGTATTGCCCGATGCGTTATCACGCGCTTTTGAGCCCACGAAGGCTGAGGTTAGTGCAATAAACCAGTCGAAGCCAGGGGACAAAGCCTGGTACGCGGAACAGCACATGCGCAAAACGATGTGATGATAACGTACCAAATTACGCAACGGCATTATTTTATTTTAATTAATTAAGTGGAAAAATTTTTAATGATTTTATATCGGGTGTTAATAATGAGTGAGACACATTGGTCTGTTTTAAAACATTTTTTTCGCGATATAAACCACCGAATTTAGAGAATCAACTTTGATTGCTGACACCATCATCCGTAACTTATATTATTTAATTTTTACAAAATAGTTATAATTTTCAACGACGTACAATTGAGGTTTTAGTAATTAAGGAACGCGCAATTGAACGGTATGATTAGTTTATCAATATTATTGATATTTAAATAATTGGGTGCTAGCTTTTAAGGCCTGTGTAAACTATATATTTATCATAAAGTTACATATTGTTGAAATTGAAAGTATGGTTGAACGTACCTATACGTATCCTGTATAAATTTCGATTTATCTTGGTCGTCAGATATTCTTAATATTCTTTTGATATTAAGTAACCTCGATATAAATAAAATAATATTTACTAGGATGTGTAATGTCAGTAATCATAATAAAAGAAAAACTGAATATTTCGTGGATTCAAGAAACTAACCAAATTTATGTGTGTGTATATATATATATATATATTTTTTAATTTATTTATAAATTATCCAAACAATTTAGTATATTTTTATCAGTTTTAATATTTGTTGTCGATAATTCAAATACCATAGCTTAGATTATTATTAGGTTTATTACACTAAATAATATACTGCAAATTAATAAAAAATTGTATAGAGTAAACAAATATAAAAGATATTCTTTTTGTAATTATAGAAGTATTTCATCACAGTGTTGAAATGAAATTAAGCTATATTTTTATCATGTTTTGAATTTATATGAAATTAACCTGGTTGTGAAAGAGCTTCTGATTGTTTATATCACCCGCAATTCTATAATGGACTATTTTTAATAAATCTTAATTTTTACTTATTATATTGTTAATTACAACATAATAACCTATGTAAGGATTCTGGCTGAACTAAAGTTAAAATCTAGATTACAGAAAATCATAGAGAGCTGAATTTTTATTCATAATGCTTTAAATTTGTAAGGTTATTAATTGAAAAAAGGCCATGGTTTTTAATTGAAAAAAAGTTTTTATTTATCACTTTTTAATTTTTATTGAAAAAAATTAGAATTTATTTTGAATTTAGTTACTAGATATTGTGCAAATTATTTACGATAAAAGTTTGATTAAATGCTTAAAATTAAAAAGGTCCTACTTTTTATTTTGCTGTTTATGTTTTTATTCAGAAAATTTTAAGTAAACTTGGTGGTATGAGATTTATTTTAAAACATAGTCCTGTTATTTTTATTATATTTCTTGCTTGTTTTTCTAATATCTCTTATTTTTTTCATTGCTTTGAAACTATTCAAAAATGGCTCTTTTTAATGGTATATGTGAGAAGTAATGGTAAGCTTTTATATAAAAAAAATAACATTTTTCAGGCAATGCATTTTTAAATATAAAAACAAAATTTTTTTTTATATTAAATTTAGATATTGGATACAGCTTATTAAGATATATTATGTAAAAATTATTCATCCAACTATAATTTTTTTAAAGCTGGATTTAAAGTTTAAAGTTTCTTTAATATTTACGCTTTTCTTCATTATATACGGTAGAGGCATTAATAGTTGGTCAGTCAAAATAATTAACTTATCAAAATAATTAGTTTGATACTTATCTTTGTCTGACTATTGAAGCTTTTACTCTATTATTCTGTACTATGTGTCAGTTAATTGATGTATTGCAGGAATAGTTATTTTGAAATTAAACATGTTTCACACCTTGCGTGTAATAACCATAAATTTTCATGGTTATTAAATACAAGCTGTATAAAGGATAATCATAAATATTCATTATACTTGTTAGGTTTAAAATTGCATACAGTTTTAAAATTATGTTTTATAATATTTCAGCTTTCAGCACAATGTGAAAAAAATAAATCAGTTTTTAATACATATATATTATGGTCATATTTGGTGTAATAATAAAATTGTGAATAGAGCCAAAAATTGAAAAATGACATCTAAAAACTGTACAAAATCTTGCCATCGTAAAGTGAATAATAGTGTGGCATCAGGAAATATTCAATTTGATAAATTATTCAAGGAAAATAGCAACCGTCCATCTGCAGCTAAATCTGCTGGTACAGTTGGAAAGTGGGGAATCACATCTTTTACATCTATCAGAAGTACAAATATCAATGGTATTTATATATTTTGTCTAATAGTTTATGGATCAATTTATTTCATGTTTATCCGTAATTTATCTAAAGTAATTAGTATTTATTCTCCATTAAACATATCCAAATATTAAAAAATATATTTTTAAGACCCTTCCTACATATTGGTATACTTAAGTAAGTAAACTTAAGTACTAGAAACTTAGGTAAGTAAACTTAAGTACCAGAAATTTAAGTAAACTTAAGTACCAGAAATTTAATGTAACTTAAGTACCAGAAATTTAATGTAACTTAAGTACCAGTAATTTAATGTAACTTAAGTGGTCAACTTAAGTGTGACTTAACTATGGCAAACTTAAGTATGTAAACATAAGTACTATGAATCGATTGTAGTTCATTTGGTGTAATACTTTACTTTAAAATAATTTTCAAATTAAGCTTCAAATTATTTTTATTTGTGAACTATTACCCTTAAGATACGTTTACTTTGAAGTGCACATTTTATTTCAAAAAGTATAACACTCAGTTGGAGATGATATATGCTATACTTTCATTAATTCATCATTTTTCTCAACATTATTTTCAACATTATTCTTTCTCAACATTATGATGGTTATATAAGTTTAGTAGTCATGATGATCTATGTTTCTATATTTTCTAAGTAATGCAGAAATAATATTACTTCCGGAAATATCATGGTGGAAAAATTTTTTTATATCAATTGCAAATTGTCAAAATATGTTTGTCTAATAAATGCAGAAAAAAATAAAATTAATTATTTTAAGCAATCAGTTTTAGATAATCGTTGAATTTAGTCTCTTTCAAATAATCTCTTTCATTCTGCCTTAACCCTTTTCCTCCCAAATAACACAAATTTTTTCTTAACTTTCATCCTTATATCTTTTAATGAAAAAATCGTATGAAAAATTTATCAAGCATCACATCTTGTAGATTTTGACCTCCTTTTTCGAATGCCGTTGACAAAATTTACCTAAATTGTAAGCCGGAAACGTTATAGGCCGGTTTTCCGGAAAATTCACAAATTTTTCGCGTTTTTTTTTCTAAAAAAAGTATATTTTGAAATGGAAAAAGTTTGCACACACCATTGGAAACACTGTTATCGGTGTTATAGATGTCTTTTCTTTCAAATGCCGTTGGATTTTTTCCGAAATTTAAAATGGCGAACACAAAATGGCGTTCGAAAGGAAAAATTTTTTTTTTAAACTTGACGAATTTTTTTCTCCAAAACTATCAAGTTTAGTGAATAATTTCTAAGAACAAAAATGTCTTAAAATTAGTCAAGAAATACTCTCAAATTTTTTCAGATTTTTTTACAGCGAATTTGGAAATTTAGATTTTCCGATTTTCCACGAATTCGAAAATTAACTCTCTCGCCTAAAGTCCTATCGCGTCGCGATCAGGAAAATCGACTTTTAGCGAGGGTAGCAAAAAAAAATAATTGTTAGACTTGAAATTTTTTAAAATTTTATGAAACTAATTTGAAAAATATGTATAGGAATAAAAATGATTAATTTTTTACTCAAAAACTATTGACTCAATAAAAAAATTCATAATAACAAAAGAGTCTTAAAATTTACCAAGGAGTACTCTCAATTTTTTTCAGAATTTTTCGAGTAAATTTTCGAATTCGTGGAAAATCGGAAAATCGAAATTTCCAAATTCGCTGTAAAAAAATCTGAAAAAATTTGAGAGTATTTCTTGACTAATTTTAAGACATTTTTGTTCTTAGAAATTTTTCACTAAACTTGATAGTTTTGGAGGAAAAAATTCGTCAAGTTTAAAAAAAAAATTTTTCCTTTCGAACGCCATTTTGTGTTCGCCATTTTGAATTGCGGAAAAAATCCAACGGTATTTGAAAGAAAAGACATCTATAACACCGATAACAGTGTTTCCAATGGTGTGTGAAAACTTTTTCCATTTCAAAATATACTTTTTTTAGAAAAAAAAACGCGAAAAATTTGTGAATTTTCCGGAGAACCGGCCTATAACGTTTCCGGCTTACAATTTAGGTAAATTTTGTCAACGGCATTCGAAAGAGGAGGTCAAAATCTACAAGATATGATGCTTGATAAATTTTTCATACGATCATAAAGATATGAGGATGAAAGTTAAGAAAAAATTTGTGTTATTTGGGAGGAAAAGGGTTAACAAGTGAAACAATGCACAAATAGACCAGCATAGTTTGGAATAGGATAATACAAATTTATATTGATATAAGGAAAAGTTTATGAGTGATTATTGTTTTTTGAAAGAATAATCATGAAATTAGTGGCTCTCTAAAGAGCTACTGGATTTCAGGTTCTTGCTTTATTTCTTACAGATGATTTGTAAAAAAATATATGTAAGACAGTCTCTTGATTTATATAAAATAAGGCTATAAGTTTAGAAATAAAGTTTTATACAATCAAATAAAATTTTCAGTATCCCTAATAGGTTTTCAACTATCTACTGAAAAAGCTGGGTCCATTTACATTCATCATAGATAGTTATATCACTTGTCTAAAATTGACTCTAACATTAGATAACCTATGTAATTGACAAAAATTGTACATACTTATTAGAAAGGACTGCTAGAGTCCATTCAAGGCAGTTGTTATAAAATATAGTCATCTACCAAAAAATAGCCTATATTTCTGCAAGAAATAATGGTGCAAATTTTGTGTGAAAGTTTACAATGTTTATACAAACCATATACAAATCTTGTATACAATTAATATAAAAGTTAAATAATTTCTACCAAAATGCTAGTACAAATCTTTCTACATATTTTGGCCTCCTTTCCCCTGCCTTCCACACTTTTCTCCAAAAGTAAAACTTACATGTAACAGTAAACTGCCACTATTACTTAGAACTTGGGGACTATTTTACGATTAATTTTACAATTGGAACCAAGTTAAAATAGTTATTTAACAATTTTTTTTATAATTATGAAATGGTAATTTTGATCTTGATCGGATAACATGCCAAAATTGCAGAAATATAATTATAATAAAAATTATTGAATTACTATTTTTACTTATTTAAAATTACAAAATTTATTTTAAATTAGTCTCTATTTTCTAGGCATTAGCAGCAGCCTACTCACATGTAAGTTTTATTTTTTGAAAAGTGTTACAAAGGAGACGGGAGATATTTCGTTAACTGTACCCAGATCATATAAAATGAAATCCATCAATATGAGTGCTAATGATTGAGTATCTAGTAAATCATCGATGGTCGTTTCAGATAAATTTTTAAATGACATTTATAATTAGAAATTGATAGATCTTTGATACGAACCGTTAATTGAGTCCGTGTCTCAAGACACATATTTGTAGGTTGTACATATATCTACATTATCGTCATTAAGCTATGACTTATATTTTATTATTATATGTACTAACATTTTTAGTATTCAGGCCATAGTATCATTTTAAATAATTTAGACTGATTTTGCAGTTTGATAAACAAAATATGTAATTGATATGCAGGTTATGAATACTGCGTTACTCCAGCGTATTATATAGGTAATATGTGATACGTAGTACTAGTATCAAGTACGCTTTGCGCGATAATCTTTCGTTTGTATAAATACTTAATTTTGTGCTTGAATCAAATCAAAACTATTCTAAAATGTAGTGTATATATAAAACAGTTTTATGCTTTGATATTTTTAACATCTGTCGATATTAATTAACAAAGAAAAATCTAATTATATTGATATTTACAGATCTATTAATTATTTCAAACCTAATAACGCAGTAGATCTTTAGGTGTTAGCTAAGCTATAAATCCTTTCTCCTTCTGTTTCTAAATAAATTTGATAATTAAAAAAAAAATATTAGAATTCAGTTATAAAAACTTGTTTGGAGTAGTACTTTTCGTAAACTTTATTTCAACATGTTAACTTTCATCAAGATTTTTTTTTACCTATTAATCCATAACCATTGTGAGGTTATATTTCCATGTATAAGTTTAATTTAAAACAAATTTTTGAATAAATTAATTCACAAGATGAGCCAAAGTTAGTTCACAGTATTTTATTTATGAAATAATCTATCAGTTAGAGTCCCGTCTGAACCTTGACGTGTTTATATAAATAGGAGCGCGAACGAGTGTATTGACTGTCGCATGGTATAGAGTTATACTTTCTCCGCGAGTGCGTCTGAATTTATTCAGTGCCGTAATAGTGCATAACGGTTTAATAGTGCAAGTGCATTATCTCGATCATGCACCATATAACCATGGGGACAACCTCTGACTACAGGGGCGGTGTCTTACAAAGTAATCTCACGCAAGAAGCATCCAAATCCTCACAGTACCAAAGTCACCCTAAAGAATCGTACGCTAGAACGACACAAAAGACTCAGTTTCCAAAAAGAGATTAAGCAGTTGTTACAGAAGTAATTGAGGGTCTAACAATTAGAGACTACACACTTGCTATACGTAAAATCTTTAAACCAATTAATGTGTTGTTCGTCTCAAGAATTTCGAATGGCAGAATATGTATTTACGTTAGCAGTCAAGAGCTTGTCGACAAGCTCACAGAGCCTGACATGAAAATAAACATTGAGCAGTACTCTCTCACGCTTCGACCTCTGATATCTACGAGGGTCGTTTGAAAAGTCCGTGCAAAAATAAAAACTGCTTGATTTTTTTTAATAAATCTTTTTTATTTTTCAACATAGTCACCTTTTAGGCTTATACACTTCATCCAACGCTGCTCTAGTTTGTTAATCCCTTCCAAATAATAGGATTTGTCCAAGTCTGTAAAATAGACATTCGTTTCTGCAATCACCTCGTTTAAATAAAATCTTTTCCCCGCCAGCCATTTTTTCATATTAGGGAACAAATAGTAGTCCAACGGAGCCAAGTCTGGAGAATAGGGGGGATGTGAAACGAGTTGGAACCCTATCTTCATCAGTTTTGCGGCCATAACTGCTGAGGCGTGAGCTGGCGCATTGTCGTGGTGGAAGAGGACTTTTTTGTGGGCCAATCATGAACGTTTCTCTAGCAACTCGGTT